GGGCCCGGCTGGCCGGCGTGGACGGCGGAGGTGCCGGAGCGGAGGACGCGGCGGCGGTTTTTCCAGCTCGCTCATGGCACGGTCCTGAAGCGGGGGTTTCTCGGTGGCTTTTCTGGCAGTGCCGGTGGGTTAACCGGGCTCTTCCCGAAAAGTCCCGACTAAACCGCTGCGTGAGGGGTTACGAGGAGGGCGCAGGCCCAGGTGTGTCTCAGGTGCGAGCCTGATGCCATGGAGGCCAAAGAAAGACACCAGGAGAACTCCGTTCCATGCAAACTGGCACTGCTTGCAGGCTACAAAGGATTATCTGTACCAGTTTCATCTTGTGGCATGTAGAGAGCGCCTAAGGGGTGACTTGCCAGACTGGTTGTGGGGATTCCCCATCTCCCGGCTTTTCCTACTGCCCCTTCATGCAGGGGGAAAAACAAACCCAAAGAGAAAAAGAAAAAAAAAGAAAAAAAAACCAAACAAAAAAAAACAAACAAAAAAAGAGATTAATTTTGTATATGATTTCAGGAAAACAGACTTCATTGTTTCTGCCTCTTCCTCATGTTTTTGCCCTTCAGGTTTTGTTTTACGTGCAAACAGACCTGGTGAGTTGCCCCTTAGCAAGGCACAGAGGGTTTGGCTGGATTAACGTTGCTTCCCTGATTATTATTATTTTTTTTAATCGGAGTGCTTTTGGTGCCCATTACAACTGAACTGAGCATTGATCAATTCTGTGCCTGAAAATCATTTGTCTTTAATTTGAGTGTTTTTTGGTTTTTTCTTTTGTTGGGTTTTCTGTTTTGTTTTGTTTTTTCGTTTTTGTTTTTTATTTGAACTTGCAATACGAAACTAAATCTAACCCTAAATTAACAACACCCTTTCTGGCAAGTTTAAAGAGCAGTATGGTGTTTGGAAATGTCTTTCAAGCCTCAAAATTGCCTGTGTGCACAAAACTGGCAAAACCCCAAAACTGAATCAAAAGAGCCCCCCCACCCCAGCCCTGAGCTCTCAAGGAGGAAGATGGGTTTGTCACCGGCCCGGCCCGACGGCCGCTCACATTTGCAGTGAAACGTGCTCTGGGAACAGTGGTGTTTTACGTAGAGTCATTTCCATCCAAAGACGGTTTTCGGAAGGGACATCCTGGGTTCGCCACTTCCATCCAGCAATGGTAGTGAATTGTATTCAGGAGCAGTAGAGTACGATCGATCTTGCGCTACAGTGTACGGGCCCGATTCATTACAAGAAAAATGGTTGGGGTTTGTTTTTTTTTTTATTCTTTTCTTTTCAGTTGGTTTTTTCTTTTTCCTTTGCAAATTCGCACAGCCCTCCTTCACGCGTGCCTAATCCAAAAGCACAGAGCGCAACACAGTTGGCCCTTACTGGCCCCCTTTCTGCCAGTAAACTGGAAAAGAGCTGGAAAACGCCCAGGCAGGCGCGTCCCACCGCCCCTCCGCTCGCTGGGGACTGCTCTGCCCAGAAGCTGCCGGAGACGTCCCCATCCCTGCTGCCCCTTCTGCAGCGCTCCGGCCCCACCAGCTCGCTCCAAATTGACCTCCTCCGCTCTCCAGCCCTATCCTGCCGGCTCTTCCCCACCGTCCTGGTCTCGCTGCCGGTGCGGTGGCTCGGCAGCATCGGACCTCGGCCTGGGCACCGGTGCCGGCCGGCGGGGCTGAGCGCCAGCGGAGAGCGTCCGCCTCCAGGCGTGCATCTTGGTCTTCCAAGGAAGCTGCAGTCCTCTCGCTCCAAGCCCCTGGGCTGCGGTGCATAGGCGCTGACCACCTCGGTTTCTCCCCGGGGTGATGTTCCTCCTCTTGGGAAGCCTGCACGTTTGCTTAACGGCCAGCAAAAGGAGCCCACCCGGGCTTCCCTGCCCTTGCCCCTTCTTTTTCTGTTGCAGCGTGTGAGGATGCAGTCACCAGTTTAACCGTGCTAGATCAACAAGTTCTCTTCTCTGTCACAGCAGAAAGGGACATTTCCCCCTGCTCGTGCTCAGTGCCGCTCACAATTTCACGTCTAGCGTAGCCGGTCACATGCCGGCAGGGTGAATGCAGCGATGCTTCTCTTAATAAATCACGTGCCCAGTCGACGTCTCAGTGACGAGGCGATAGCTGAGGTCCCTCGAGCAGACAGAGGGGTTTGGCCACATCCATTCAAACCGGGTGGGACTGTGCTGCCGAATCCCTCAGCTGGTTTTGACAACCTCATCCATTCTTGTATTTTTTTTAATGAATTGGGACCTGAGCCATGGAAAACGAGCAAACTTAAAAGCCTGAATGCTGCAAACTCCTCCTAGACAACTTCACTATCAATGTCACGTTTCTTTTGAATTCACCTGACATATTTTACGTGTAAAACATTTTTGTCGTGTAAATGCTTTTTTTAAAATACAATCATGGGGAGGGGGCACATTTTTATCTTGCATTTGACATGGGAGGGATTCATTTGGCAGGAGAGCGAGACAAGGAAAATTTGGCAGGAGAGGGTTTTCGTTCCTTCCTCTTTGGTTCATTGACAAGTCTGAGATTTTTCCAGTTCCCAACCTGTTGCCACCAACTATTCCTCCCTGAGGACTGGAGACAAAACCCATAAGGCCATCTGTAATCCAGCCCGATTCCCGCTGCCCGGCACCGGGAGGAGCCGTGCGCGCCCGTCCCAGGCAAGCGGCGCGGGCTCCCACGGGCACACTTTGCCCGCCGAGATGGCCGGCGGCAGGACAGCGCGGTGGGACAGCGCGGTGCCGCGGCGCCGGGAGCTGCTCCCCCCGCCTCACCCCGACCCCCGGCACATCTGGATTTTGGGCGCCAGTCCCGGCTTGCCAGTGCTGCCTTTGAGCCCTGCGCCCCGACAACCCCTTACTGTACTTTATACTTGCCAGCTATAACAAATCTCGTAACGTGAGCTACTGACCTTGATGGTGAGTGTGAGCAGTTATGTTTTGTTGTTTTCTCTCTTGCTTGGTTGGGGCTGCTGTGAGAGAGGGTGTCTCTGAGGCATACTTTCCGGCCTCTCTTACACTCGGACGTGCACACCTCCTCTCAAACACTCTTCTGAGCGCTCTCAGCGGGAAGGTTTGTCCACACCTATTAATCCTCTCTCAGTGTCCAGCTTCTTGTTAGTAGCAGCTGGTTGCATGTTTTTTGCTTGTTCAGACGAAACGGTTCAAGAAACGACTCATACCAACTCTTGAGAAATGTCTCTATTTTTTTGTACACTTTCTTTCTTTTGATGTTTTTATTAATTTCCCTTACTTAAAAAACAAAACACCTGTCGTCCCGTAAAACATTTCACATCTCCCCTTGCCTGTTCTTAGAGTGTATGTATCTGTGGGACTGAACTAAATGCATGCACTGTAGTAGTTGTACTGGTAGCAGTAGATGTAGTTGTAGAACATGCATTGTTGAGTTGATATTATAGGTATCATCAACGTGAACTAGCGTGGCAGTTAAAAGCATAGCCTTGGTCTGATTGAAAGCGTAGGGCTATCAATACAGCAGAGAGCTGCTAACGGCTTGGATCCATAGTACCGTATTTGTTAAATCCCATTATCTGGAAGTTTAAATTGAAGCTGGCTGTAGGCAACCTACACCCTGTGTACAAGAACCCGCACATGCTGTTACGTTGATAGTAAATTTGCCATATTATTTTTTTCAAATTAAACCCCCTAGGAATTAAAATGCTGACTATAACTATATTCTCTTATTTTTATTTTGTATTAAAAAGAACTTAAGATATTTTTTAAATCATTTTACAATCATGGTTTCTTCATCAGCCTGTTACTCGTCCATATTAGCCCATAGAATCATTCGTTGGCAGTCGTAGACCAGATGTGCCAAACGCAAATCACTCCATTTGGGTTTCTAAATAATACCGTGTGCGTGAAGCAGCTTCCCGCAGACTATCCTGAGACACGAAGCAATCGTTTTTAGGTCATAAACCTTAAATCTTGTTATGCAACAGAGACTCTGAGCTAGCGGTGGGTCGTACTCATTGCCATGTCACCCAGCTTAAGGGAACATTTTTAAATGAAGATTTAACATTTCATAAATACCAGCGTGAGGAGTTCGAGGCAAG